TACATACCTATACATTGTCTGATGCTCCCTTTCAAACATTTTAAAATTATTTTGATCTTTGCCTTCACTCTTAGAACCAAATGGGAAACCTCTATGTCCGCTGGTTTCCGTGCTCATCACCAGTGTGTTCATTCCATGACTTTCCCCTCTTACATTCTTATTTTTGATCCATTTCATAGTTGGTTGGAAAACATTCTCCAGTGTTCCTCTCAAAAAGGATACATGGTTGAAAGCTTGCACACTAGAGAATGTCTTTGGTTTACTGTGACCTTCATACATAGAAGACAGTCTAGCTAGGTATAAAAATCTTGGATCTCAAAGTTTTCTCTCCTCACAACCTATAGACACTGCTCCATTGTCATCTGGCCAGCTGCTTGTTGATTTTAAATCTGAATCGATTTTTTCCTCATCCTGGTATTTCATATGTTTTGCAAAGATGTACGTGGGTGTGTTGGTCTTTTATCCTTGATTTTTTCCAAAAATTCAGCTCATCCTTTCCTTCCTACATAGGTTGGCCTTCAGCTGAGGGATCCTATCTTTGGTCTCTGCTGCAGTTTTCTCCCAATTATATGCCATCTCTCCACTTTCCCTCTTCTATCCCTATCATTTTCTCTTTCACAGTTTCCACGTCTTTATTCTTTTCCTCTAAATTTTGTGAGAATCTCTCCAGTTTACTCTCCATGTTTTGGAATCTGTTTTCTACAGTATTATTTCTCTTGACTGCTTCCAAAGTCGATTTTAATTGTGCTCCTAGGCTTTTAGATTTAGGTTTTTCCAGCTCTTCTTTCTTTCGTGTGTCACCCTTTTTGTATCATCACGTGGCCTTTTCAGCTCGGCCTCGTTTTCCCATACGGCTTTTTCTCTCCTACTTCATAGAGGCTGTGTCTTTTTAGAATTTTTTTTGAGCCTGACACACCCATTCAGTTTCATATCGTCTACGGCTGTTTTTGAGCCACGGCGACAGTTTGAATAGTTGAGACAGAGACCGTATGGCCTGCAAAGCCTGAAATATTTACTGTTTGGGACTTTGCAAAAAGATTTGCAGATCCCTGGCCTAGTGTGACAGCTGGATTCCCACTCCAGCCCCAAGCTGGATGGCAAGGGAATGCATCCAGCTCCCTCTGCAGTTCCTAATCCCTCCCAGCCTTTCTCCTCAATCCGCTTCTGCTCTGTGGAGGTGGTGTCCTTCTGTCTCCACTGCCTGACTTCCTTGTTCTCTGCATCAGTCATTTAGATAAAAACGTGAGTTCATGTACCCACTGCAGACACAGTCCTTCCCATCCATCCATCCCCTTCCTTAAGCCTCCCTTCTCCGGATCTGGCTCCACCCTGGGGCCCCCACCCACTTCCTGCCCATTCTTTCTCCGGTTGTTGTCTCCCTGTCATCTTCCCTTTTTTTTTCCAGGATTTTTCTGTTCATCAGACAGAGAGCTCTGTCCTGAGGTAAGACCTGGACAGGTTTTGCTTGTTCTACCACCATCTGCCTTTAATTAATAGAGATTGCTCCCAGATTCCAGCGTTGGGTCATCTGTCAGTTTAGTTTTTGGCATTAGTGTGAATTTTCTTTTTTTTTTTTTTTTCATTGTCTGTATAGCTATTTTGGAACAAAACAAGGAGAGGAAACGTGGGTAGCTGCAAGTAGATGCCATTCTGAAGGAGTCAGAGATGCATTTTAAAGCTGCGTTTGGTCCCTCTGGAGGCAGCCTCCGTAGCTGTGTGTGTGTTTGATGACAGATGAAAACTCAGGAACACTTTCCTTATCCAGGGACCTCTTGTCCAGTGACCTCAGTTCTCTGGAATACACCCAAAGAGTCAGCACGCAGCCAGAGAGCTGCCATGGTGTCCGTGCTCTGAAGGAGCAGTTCAGTCTCTCATTCCAGGCCTGTTGACCCATGCTTTACCTACAGTTCGAATAACGTTAGTCTTTCTGTTTTCCTAGCTCACAGCTAAATCAGAATCAGCAAATTGGAAGGGAGAGGGGACAGTTTACAACAAGCACACTGACCTGATGAGAATTGCTGGCTGACAGGAAAGACGTAAGACCCACATAAAAAATAAACAACAAACCGAATACAGCTGTAGATGTGTACATGTCGAGGCTGGTACCATTTCCCGCAAGGACGAGCGGCTGGAGGTTGCCCTGTGACCCCAGTTTGAGTCAGCAGTCACCCCTCTGAGCCTTTCCTCTGCCAGCCTGGGTCCTCCATACGAGTCTTGGGTGCAGAGACTGTCTCCACCTCCTACGACTACAGTTGGCTCAGACAGTGGTTCTGAGCCTGGTTGCACATTAGACTCAGCTGGGGAGCTTTAAACATCTGGACACACAGGCTGCCCCCTAAACCAGTGAAATCAGAATGCTTCTGGGTCATTCCAGAAGCCTGGGTTGGGAGCCAGGCCGTCAGGAGCACAGGCAGGGGTGAGAGCGGTGCCACATGCCTCTCTAGTGCCCTGTGAGTGGCTCTCGTTATTGAGGGGCAGACTTGGTATTCATGGGGGCAACTGTGATTGTCACATGGGGTCTGGAGCTGGATCTAACCGGGCAGTGACGGATGCCACGCATTCGAGGATGGTTTCTGGCCCAGGTGGATACTTGGCTCTGAATAGGACGGAGTGATGGAGAGGGAAGGGAGGGCTGGAGGTGCAGGGCCCGGTCCTCCCAGGGGCCGTCTCCCCTCCAGCCCACAGTGCACTTGGGCCTGGCACCCTGGCACCTTTGTCAGCTCTGCTGTCCTGTCTGAGGATGGGAATCACGGTGCCTTGCTTACAGGGCTGCCCGGAGGCTCTCTCCAGGGCTGAGTCTCCACACCACAGAGGAGACAGGGCAGGTGATTGACTGGAATGCAAGTACTGATGAGGGCCAAAAGGAAAAATAATGAGAAAGCGATGAGAGTGAGTTCAAGGCCGTCCCTGCAGTGACGTCACCGGCACCACTGGCATTCTAGTTCTGTCCCGAGTGGAAGACAGCAGGCAGGGATCCCCGCCAGCTTGCTGGGGGACGCCAGGACTTAGGTATGGCCTGCGTTCAGCCCCCGTAGTCGCTTTGCCGTGAGCGCCATCTGCCCCTGGGATGGCAGAGATGTGGCCGAGAGCGGCCGTTCCCAGCAGTGAAGTGTGCAGTGCCATGCGGGGCAGGGGAGCGGGGGGCGGTGCCCCTGCCCGTGGGTTTGGGCCACTCCACTCACTGTCACCTCGTGTGTCGACCCCCCGGGCTTGGCCCCAGTGGAATACAGGCCGCTCTCCCTGGATGCCCCAGCCCCTGCCTTCCACGAGGTCCTGACTCCAGTAAGCCACCAGCTGGCAGGAGGGGCTGGTACTGCGGACTCCATTGCCTCCAGACAGGGCATCCGGGTGTGGGGGGGAGAGGTCCAAGGACTCTGACCCCTGGGGGCAGGACGGGGGGCTGTTCTTCCCCACTTCCGGAGACTGGTTCCTAGTGGGGTGCCCCAGGAAGCTGGCTCAGGGGGCAGCAGAGGGCTGCCAGGCCTGCGGCTCCCAGGGCGACAGGATGGAGCTGTCTCAGCTTTAATTAGGACCTTGAAGGAGGCAGCCGCCTCCCATGGTCCAGAGGCTGACTCTGGGGTGATCTCTGAATATTCCCTGCAGATCTGAGTGATGGTTTGGGGGGACAGGCGGCCCCCTGCCCTGGCCTTGTCCTGTACTCCCACACAGACCACTCCTCACCCCCACCCTGGCCTTGGTTTTCCCCTTTGCAGGATGGGGGGCTGGCCCCTGCAGTCACGTGTGTGTGTGTGTGTGTGTGTGTGTTTCCCGTCCCTTTGCCAGGACACACACCCAGCCCGTTTGCACCGTCACTACTCCTAGGACAGGCTGGGCCCTCCGCAGCCCCGGGGCTGGCCTGGCCGCTTCTCCGTGCCGGCGGTCTGGGAGTTGCTGGAATGCCAGGCGTTGTGCGTCCCCAGCTCTGAGCTGAACGCCTCGTGCTTATCGAGGGAGAACCCATCGGTGTTTACCGAGACTCAGCGTAGCATAACCACGAGTACAGTGATCTTGGCATCTCAGACTCGAGTGCAAGGCCCAGCCTCGCCACTTGCTAGCTGTCTGGGGTGCACTGGGCAGGCGGCCTCCGTTTCCTAGTCTGTAGAATGGGAATAATGCCCGCAGATCAAAGAACGGTTGTGAGAATTCAGTGAGAGCCAGCATGTTGAGTGGTGGTGCAGGGCGGGCTGGAGTGATTTATGGGGCCTCTGTCGTGGGCTGGCTGTCATGCCAAAAGCTGACGTGTGAACGCAGATATGGCAAAGCAATTGCATCACCTTATCTGAAGAGAAGGAAGAGCTGGCAGGGAGGCGGCCCGGGGGGACCGGTGTTGGAGGTTTGCATCTGCTGGGCCGACAGAGGCCACCCCCCAGGGGAGGCAGGCCCCAGGGCGTCACACATCCTGCCCGGCTCGCACTGGGACATCCCCGAACTGATACCCGGCAGACGCGGGCCCGGCGGCCCTGCCTCTCAGCAGTAGGGCCCATTAGAACTGAACTCTTCTTCGTGGGGCATTTTATTTGCACACTCCAGTAGAGTGGACACCAAAGGGGTTTTCTAATGCTTCATGGGCTGCTAATTTCCTCTGTGACCTCTTTTGTTGGGGCCTGACCCCAACCAGAGGCTGCTCGCCACGGAAGCCAGCGCCTGACACAGACCCGGGGTGCGGGGTGACAATGAGGCCTCTATTGGCTTTAATCAGGCTCCGGGTGCATCTTAAGAACAGGGGGAATTTGTGTGGCGCTCCAAAGCCCTGGGTGGCACAATATGGGAGCCCCCAGAGTCCCTCACGGAGGCCGGGGGGCCGGCGGGGGTGGTCAGGCGGGGGCCCTTTGTCCCAGCGCCTCTCGAGGCCAGGACGCCCTGAATGGCCGCCCGCGCGGCCTGGCCCCTTGGGTATCACAGGCCGCTGGGTATTTAGGGAGGTGGCCTCCCACCCGGCCTGGCAGCCTATTCTTCGCCCGCCTAATTAGGTTTTGTCTGTGCTCTCCCCTCCCCTGCAGACTGTGATTCGTACTGCAAGGCCTCCAAAGGGAAGCTGAAGATTAACATGAAAAAATACTGCAAGAAGGACTACGGTGAGTGAGAGCCCCTTGTCTGGGGAGGGGGAGGGGAGGGGAGGGCACCACGTGACCAGCGAGGAGCTGGGGTTGGGGTGCAGGTGGCCCTGCATGGGTGTTGCTCACAGAGCCCCTGGGACCCGAGGGGAGCCGAGTGGGATGGGTCCCACGCCCAGGAATGTCCCAGCTCTTCCCCCTTGGCGGCAGGTGGTGTGAGGGGTCATAGGCGTGTGGGCAGGGTTCTCCCCCTGGCCCTGCAGGGAGGCATCCTGGCCAGTGGGACCTGACAGGCCTGGGATTCCCAGGCTTCACTCTGCCCCGAGGGGCCGTGTGGCTGTAGGCCAGTCACTTTACCTCTCTGGTCTTCGGTGCCCTCGTCCGTACTCGTGGGCGTTCAGCCTGAGGCTCTGTAGCTCGAAGAGAGGTTCTCCGGGCATTGGAGAAAGGGAGGGCGCTTCCGTGGTGTGTTTAAGATGCCGATTGCAGAAGCCCGCTCCTTCAGAGGGTTGACTCCACCAGGTGGAGCTGGGTCGAGAATCTGCATTTAAGGCGGCTCGCTGGTGACTGTGAAGCGTGAACACAGCCCCGGGATCCCTGAGGGCCTTTTTCAGCCGGGAGCTGGGGGGCTGCAGGGTCCCTGTCACCGGAGGCCTCAGGCTCCCTTCCTGGGAAGAGGGTGTCCAGTCCGTCCCCCAGTCTCCCCGGGCGCCGTCCACCCTGGCACTGGGGGTGGGGACCCCCACACCCCTTCTCTGAATCGGCGTCGCCAGCCCTGCACCGCGCGGTGAGGATCTGGCTTTGTGGTTTCTGGGCCCTGAGAGTGTCCGGCCCGCTGGGGGCCTGGGCTGGCCAGACACCGCGATCCAGCTGCACTCCCCTCAGGATGGGGTCGGAGCGGCCGGTGGGTTTGGCGTGTCAGTTCCGAAGCGGCCAGGCCGTGGGCATCCCATCCCGGAGCCCTCTGGGTCCACGATGAATTCCTAAAAAGCCTCTTTTAAGTGCTTGCATCCCAAGGCGGTGCAGAAACTCCTGACTTTCACGGGAAAACCAACTTTGATTTTGAAAGCAAACGTCGAGCTGGTGTAAAGATAAAGGAAGTGTTGTCTCTGACCCAGGGTGACAGCAGCCCCCAGAGGCCCCAGGTGGCATTGGATTAGGCTTGTGTGGTCCATGCTCCTGGCCTGGGACCCTCAGCGTCTGCCAGGGACGGGAGGTGGGACTCGGGTGGGACAAGGGTGGGAGGACCCAAGGGTCGTGCAGTGTCCCAGGCTTAGGGCTGGGGGCCCATCGAGGCTGTCCAGGCCCAGAGAGCCAGGGTGACAGAGAAGAGCCCTGGGCCTGTCACTCTGCCACCGCTGCTCCCTTCCCCCGCAGAGCTGGGGTGGGGGTGGGGGGCTGGGGAAGGAACAGGTGGGCCGCCTGGGGGGAGGGTGGTTTGAATTGGGTCTTGAAGCATCCTCTGCAGACGCTGGGGAAGGGGCCTGGGAGGAGGGGCGCCGCGCAGACTTCGTGTGAGGTGTTGACTGCAGCTCCCCTACCCCCGTTCCTGCTCTTCCCGTGAAGAAAGGGAGGGTAGCACCTTTGTTTACAGTTACCCAATGGCTCCGTCTGCCTCCTGGTTCCGTGGGACTCGTTTTGCTCTCTCTGACTTGTTTTCCTCCGTTGAATTCTGCCTCCCCTACCCCTGAGGTTGTGGGGGACACTTCGGCCCCCTCTGAGCTCTCCTGTCTCCACCCACCCCCAGCAGCAGGCAGGTCCCTCTTTCTGCAGGAGGGGGCCGGGCCCCCTCTTGTTATATTCCCAGAGGGGCCCCCCTGAGCCCTGCCCCCGCTATGGGCCCCCCAGGGAACAAGGGCGGTGGCGCAGGGGGCTCGGCCTCTGGCCTCCTCTTGTTCTCTGCTGCCTGACTCCATCCTGGATTATCCGAGGGAAGCTGGTGTCCTAGGTACGGCCCCTGGCCCAGCTGGCTGAGGTGACTTGCCCAGCAGAGGCCCGGCCTCCCTGGCCGCCCCTCCCCCATCACGTTTATCCCCAGGGCCCCATGTGTCCCAAAATCCAGAGGGCTGAGCAGCAGCCCAGCACGCCCACCTTCCCAGACTTCATGGCGGCTTCACGCCACCTTCCCCCCCAGCTCCTGGCCCTGCGCTGCTACCAGCACACCGCCCAGGCGTCCACGTTTCTGCTGCGGGGCGAGATTTGAGGAGAGCAGGTGCAGGGGAGAAGCGGGGTGCCCCCGCAGGGCGCCAACACGGTCCGGAGCTGTTGTGCCGTCAGCTTTGATGTCCTCGTCACTGACCCCCCCGGCCCACTGCCCCCGCCCATCCCCCAGAGGCTCTCGGAGGCGCGTTCTGGTCCCTAGCACTGTCCGTGATGCTCTCGGGGTTGCCTCAGAGTTGGGGAGCAGCCCATCCCAGCTCAGCAACTAGGCCTGCCTGTTCAGGCAGAAGACAGGACAAAGAGATGCCAGGAAGGGGATCACAGGGCCTTCCGCGCAGGGCTTGGCGGACCCCAGCAGGGTGGGGGCAGGCAGGGAGAGGCTTGTGGAGGAAGGAGTGAGTGGTACCCACAGGGGCTGGGCAGGGGGCATCGGGGGCTCAGCCCGGCAGCAGCCGCAGGCCTTGCTCTGAGGCCGGAGGCCAGGTCTCCCACCGGGGTCCACGGACCTTGTGGAGAATCTTCCTCGCATCCTGCTGGGCCCCTGGATGAGGTGTGAGTGGAGGTGTGCCTTCCACGCCCGAGCAGACCTGGGGCAGGTGAGCGAGGATGGTGAAGGGAGCCGGCGGGCCCAGGAAGGCCGGGAGGGAGGCTGCAGGGGCCGCATAATCCCTGCTCTCTGACTGACACCCCGGCAGGGAGCCAATTAGGAAACACATTTCCTTCACTTTACAGCCAGGGCACTTGGACGTTCTAGAAGCTGCTAATTAGAACCTGGTGGGGGAGGGGGTAGTGGAGAGCAGGCCCCGGGCCCCTTTCCTCCTCTGAGGCCAGCTCAGGAGTCTTGGTGTTGTACAGCGGGAGGGCCTGGGTCTGGGTCTCCGCTGAGCCGGGCGGTGGCCAGTGGGCGGGAGGCCGTGGGGAGCAGGGGCAAGGAATCACCCCGGCTGGCTTGGGGTGCGCTGGTCCTGCCCGTGTTCCTGGTGAGACAGGGCCCAGTAGGTGGGGGGAGGCCTCGGGGCCGAGCCGCCTTGTCTCTCTGCTCTGGGGAGACCCCGGGACAGGGAAGGGTAGCTGTTCCAGTCCCATCCGTAGGGAATGGGGCACTGGCCCCAGAATCCGGGGGCAGATTCCCCACTTGCTCTGTGACTTTGGACCAGGCTGGGCCTGTTTCCTGATCTGTCCCGTGGTGGTGAGATCAAGGGGACCCGACGTCCTTCTAGACGTGGCAAGGATGGTGGCCTCACCGGGCCATCTCCAAGGGGCAGGGGTCCGTGGTGGTGCTGTCGTTGACGGCCCCCCTCTCCTGGGCCCACCTCAGTCCTCTGTTGCCCTCTAGGGGATTCTGGCTCACCTTGCAGATGCTGAGGAAGCGCCCGTGGGAAGGCTCGGGGCGGGGCAGTTGCACATGGAAGACGGTGTTTGTTATTTCCTAGCGTGTTAGCATTTCCTGCCGACTTTCCAGGAAAACCTAGCCTAGAGGGGCCCTTCCTTGGCGTAAATGCTCCCAGCAGGCATGCGTAGGTGTGTGCATGTGTGTGTGTGTGCGTGCATGAGCGTGCACGCGTGAGCACATCCTCGAAGCCCGCATCCGCTCGGCGGCGGCGCCCATGCAGGCAGAGCGCGTGCGTCCCTCCCGGAGTCGCTGGCTCCGCGGCGCGTCTACCCAGAAGCCCGGGGCACCAGAACCTCGGTGGGTGTGTAGAGAGTGACGCCGTCCCCGGGGCGTTGACCGTAGGGATGGTGCACGCTTGGCGGAGGCCTGGCAATGACTTCAGGCCAAGACACCCCTCGGCTGGTGTGGGGAGTGGACTTTCTAACCCCTGGCCCGCGTGGAAGAGGGGCCGGCCTGCCCCTGCCCCTCAGCCTCCCTCCCCCCGCTGCCTCTTCGCTGGTCCCTGTGCTCCTTGGGAGGCGCCACTGTCTGGTCCCCGCTCACCTCCTGGTGTTCGCGCGACCTCCCCTCGGCTCCCGTGGCCACTCTGCGTGGGCACCGCACACACGTCCCAGGAGGTCCTGCCCCCTCACAGGGCGTCCCCACCTCAGCCAGTCCCTCCTCGGACACTCATTAGGCGCCTGCTGCGTGCCCCATCCCGTCCCGGGTGCTGGGCTTACAGAGATGGAGGAGACACAGGCTCAGTCCTCCAGGAGTTTCCGGAATCAGAGGGGAGATGCGCACACAAATGACAGCATGGACGGGAGACGTGTGGCCAGGGTCCGGCCTGGGGTGGGACGAGAGTGGGGCCTGGTCCCTCCTCCAGGGAGGGTGTAGAGGGAGGGCTTCTTGGAGGAGGGAGTGCAGGTAGCCAGTGCTCACGGGGCAAAGCAGGGCTCCCAGGCAGAGGGAGCAAAGTGTCTGAGCACAGAGGGAGGAGCAGGCTGGGGAAACGGGAGAAGAGGGAGTGTGGAGGTGCTGGGTGCAGGGCTGGAGGCCAGGGAGGCTGGGCGAGACGCTGCTGTGGGCCTCGGCAGCCGGGCTCTCGTCCGCGTGCAGGAGCCACTCTGAGGCCACCGAGAGCCAGTCCCGCTCACGTTGGCACACGGGGGCTGCCACCCGTCTCTTCTTCCTCCCTGGGATGCAGAAGTGGGGTGGTGGGGGGAGGCGGGAGGAGACAGACAGCTCGCATTCTGAAAGGTGAGATCATCTCACTTTTGCCAGTTCTTGGAAAAAGGATTCGTTCCCAGAAATGTTTATTAGTCACCCCTTTTGTTGAACGACATTTTGGCACCAGCAGATGGAAAATCAGAATGCTTTTCATGAGATGGTTTGTCTCGAGCATTCCTCCCGCGCTCCCTCAAGGATGGTTTCTGAGGATACAGCTCGAAGCGGAAGTTCTGTTGGCATCTGTGGGGAGGAGCTGGGT